CTACCATCGGTGGTCAGGCCTTCAGCCTCTCAGCCCCCAGGCTCTGGAACTCCATCCCCCAGTGCCTTTGCCTTGCTTCCTCCCTCTCCTCCTTCAAGGCCGGTCTCAAAACCTTTCTCTTTGACCGTGCCTTCAGCTCCCCTCTCGACTCTCTTCCCCTCCTCGCTCCCTCCCTTCCCTCCCCTCACCCTGACCATTTCCCCAATGCTCGGGTCCTGACCCAACTGTGCAGCGCCTTGGGACGTCCTCCTGACGTGAAAGACGCTTTATAAATAGTATCTTGTTGTTGTTGTTGTTGGTGTTCCTTACTGAATCAATGCACGAAATAGAGGTGAGATGACTGTCAATGGAGGAATATGATCAAGATCTGATGCAAAATATCCTACCATCTGGCCAAACAGCAGCAATGCTGGAGGCTATAGAGATGCCTGCAGCCACCTGCCCACTCTCTCAGCTGCAGTCTTGGATCTGGACTGATAGCTTGAGGCTAAGAAAGAGAAAAAAAAGTTTGTTTTAAAGTAGAACAATAATGCAAATGAGGGGCATTACATTGTTTACATGATCAACTGTGTTGGGAGATCCAACCTATAAACAGTTCATTATAAATAATGCCCTCGATAGCAAGCACCAACTAACTTTGCTCGCCATTGTTTTTTTTTGCCATTTTTTAAAAAAAAATTGTTAATTTTGCCTGTAACTGCTCTAGTTCCTCCCACATCGCACAGTGGGTAAGAAACGAGCAAGCGTACGCAAGTGACCTATAAAGTTGTCTGGGATGGAATCTGGCTAATAGCCAGATTCAATCAGGATACACTGAGCAAACAATCCCAAGAGTCACTGATTTACTTTGTAACCCTTTTAAAGGGACAAATGCGTGTGAAAATTGTTCAGTCATTTCAGATCTTGGAGTTAAAGTGTCATGAAGGAAATAGAGAAGAACACAAGAGATTTTATTATTTGGGATTTTTTATGTCCCGTCGCTGTATACAGTATTTTCATACCAAAAAAGATCCAACTAAATTTGCATAAAGCAGTAACTCTAGAACTCTCAGTGGAATCTTAACACCCAGAAACCAGCAACAAATAGCATGTGATTTAAGTGTGATGGGCGTGTAAATAGTTAAATGACTTCACCCCATGTTCCCTTAAGAGCAAATGAATCCTACGTGCAGCTCAGCACTTAGTTCAGGCACCTGCATAAAACATATGATACAGACGAGCTGAACTTCCTGTTTGGAAGTCTTTCAAGTTAAATCCTAATGTTTCCATTGAACAAATATTGCTGCCAAATAGATGCTTTACAAGAACTGTTTCTGTAAAATTATTGTAAACACAGAGAGGCACGTTGGGAAAAATGGAGGAGCTCTTAGCTAAGAGCATTGCTTAACATTTTAGTTCAAATAAAATGCAATCATTTATATTGTTTCAAAAATAATGAACTCACCATTTAAACATGACTCAATCGCAATCTTTCAAGATCAAGTAAATAACATGATTATATCCAAGGATAGCAGATTAACAACATGTTACAAGGGTGGTTTATTGTTTCCAATTTTTACCAATTTCATTGATAGACATCTGAATTTAAAATTATCCTCAGCATTTACTGATTGTTTTTCCATCTAGTGCACACAATTTTCTGAAACTTTTTCTCTTGCTGCTTGGTTTTATGCATCTGTTTGTGTGTACCTACAAAGACACTATTGGGTGTGATCTATAGAATTATCTTTCATTCTTTACCCCTTAATCTCTTAATTTTAACATTTATGTTTGTATTATTTCCAACTCTCTCCCCCCCCGCCTTCTTATCCTCCTCCCCCCACCGCCCCTCCCGAAGACACTAACTAGTCCTCCAGAGATTGTGTTTAACATTTGAAAATAAAATCCAAAAATTTCCTGGGAAATGTTAAAAGCTAAAAGTGAACAACTATTTATAAAGCACTACCGCATTGAGGGGCTAACATGATAATCTGCTAATGATCTACCAGAGCAAAGATCAAACATTTTATTATTACTCCTTTAACCCCTTTGTGATTAGCTGGTATTACAAAATACTGTACACAACATATAAATCACGGAGGCAAGTTTGGTGCAATTCACTTTATTACTAATATTTGCTTGGACAAACGCCAACCCCTTCAAGGCCCGTCTCAAGATCCTTCTCTTCGATCGTGCCTTTGATCGCCCTCCCACCTCTCTGCCTTCCCTCACCCCTACACTACCACTCCCCCATGCTTGGGTCCTGACACCTGACGGTTCAGCGCTTTGGGACGTCCTCCCGACGTGAAAGGCACTCTATAAATGTAATTTTGTTGTTGCTGTTGTTTTTGGACTTCATTCGTATACCATAAACAATCATGGAAATTTACAAAATGATCGTATACATTATTTCTAATATTATTTCTAAACCTACATCAAGCGTCTCAGCTCTGGCTGCCACTGTTTTATCCGCAGTCAATAAATTACAGAATTATAAGCACTCTGACAGCCAAATGATTAGCTGTTAATTAAGATAAGACGAATACTTCAGTGAAATTGCATTGGCCGAGCACATTCTTCTGCCCTGTGTTAGTGCCAGTAAACTGGCAATTTAGTGGAAATCAAATTGTTAATTGAGCAGTGAGAAGTTTCTTTCTATGTCAGTAGGTTTGAGCACAAACTGCAATTTAATTGCAATTAACATGCAGGGCACTTTTTCAACATTTTTAAATAGGAAAACATCTTGAAAGGTCTGTTTATGAATTAATTTTTCACTGGTCCATTCTGCATTCATTTCCATGTGTAGAATTTGAGCTTTGCTTCCTCTCCTTCCTCTTACCTCCCAAACAGAGAGAAAAGCTGGCAGTGTAACTACAGCTGCCTTCTCTCTGTCCTTGTTAGAAAACTGCACCATTTGGCTTTAAGCCTCAGTTACATTGAACCATCAACTGCATTTAGGTCTCAAAGTACAAACGTATTAAAAAAACATTATGACCTGTTGTCTCCTTAGTAACTTTCAGCATATGACCTTGCAAAACTTGCAACCCTCTTAAAACAATTGTACGGTTCCAAGAAAATATGTTAAAAAAACTCTGCAAACGACATACAAATACAGCTCCAAAATCAAGACTATATTAAGAATTTGAGAAATTCTGGATGCTCTAAAATGCTAAGAAAATAGAGTAATCTAGATCCAGGTGGAAATTCTCCCCCTGCACCCCCCGCCCCCCCCGCACCCCCATTTGTATCATTTGTACATTGGATTTGGTCTCCTACTTTTACGTGTAGATAGATACCCAGATAACGCAATTTTGCAATAATCAATTCAGAATTATTTTCTTTTTATAATTCTGCAGTGAGGGCGTAAAAACGTTCAATTAAAATGCAAGATTAAATTAACTCTTAGAAGAATTATCAGTTTATATAGCTCATGTGAGTTTTAAAAGTAGTGGCTCGTTAATATATATATAGGTTGGCTTAACATTGAATTCAAATGCAAATGCTGTAGAAGTGTGAAAAAATACCTGCAGATGGTGCTATAATGTGCTCAAATAAATGACTGCAGTGCAGCAAAACTGCTTTCCTCCCTTTTTAAATATTTCTCTCTGATTTTCCACATTTTTCCAGGGTTGGGGTGGGGTGTGGGGGAGGGTGAGTAGCTTTTCATTCCACACTGTGAAATTCTTCACGACTGCCTCTGGTGACATTTCTGGTATGTTCAGCTATGATGAGGGCTACTTGTGGTAGAAAGATGGACAGGGTCATAGGGCCAACTACTGCAGCCTCGCCGTAATCTCGAGTGAAAACTCATCTCATCAAATTCATGGCTGGTAGATAAGTGCCCTTTGGTCGTAAGCCTATACCCTCTGTATTCTGAAGTCAGCAATATGTGCCATTACACTACTAGACTATTGGCAACTCTTAGCTTATTTCTAGGAGTATTCAGGGATGAATCTAAGTCGCGTTCCATGACCTTGTGAGCACAACAGCTTTAGCATCTGTCCAGGATTTAAAAGGTGCAGAACTTTTACTCTGAATGATTTTTACTTAATTCCTTGTTGGAAAAGATCCCCAAATAAATGATCGAGTGACTCTATTGTTAAACAAAACGGTATCAGCATAGTGTAAAGAAGTTTCGTTCTGAAACCCTAACCTATTTATCATAACTCTCCATGTGAATGCACCAAGGATTTGAGTTCATAGTCTAGGCTGAGATTGCAGTACAATGCTGGGGGAGTGCAACAATGTTGAACGTGCTATCCTACAGTTAAAATGTTAAACTGAGGTACTGTATAATCTGTTCAGGTGCATATTAAAGTTCCCATAGCGCTAGTTGAAAAACAATGTGTACTGTACTTAAAAAATAATCTTCCCATAATCTTAAGAAATACATTTCAAATAATTTTTTGACATGTACAGTATAATTTGATTAATGACACATCTATTCTCTTTGCTAGAAAGATGGCATTATATATTTATGTGTTGCACTTACTAGGCATTTATCCCAGCTCACTTAGGAGGTAAAATTATATTTCATAGTTACTGCTGAAGATTCTTCTTTATTTAGTTTTATTAGGTTGATGCTAAGTCACAACTGCTAAACTTGTATGTATCAGTACAACAATTCCGATCGGGCTTACTCTGCTACATTATTTTAAAATCATTAAATGGGACTATGGAGTAAAATGCTTGTATTAATTTGTAAGATAGTTCAAAGCAAAAGGAACATTTCAATATGTACAAATGCACCATGCTTCTGAAAAACAAAAATGTGTTCAAATGATGATTGTCTTCGTGAACGCATATAGTTCTTTAGGTTTGTGGCCTTAATCCATGTTTTTCAAGAGAGCTTTTAATTGATCAGAATAACAAAGCAAATATGAAATCTTAAATGTTAAGGCATCAATGTTTCTTTCATTTGTGTTTATTTAGCTGATATGAAAGTCAGTCTTACCAGCTGCTGTTGATTCATCACATACAGAGGCCAAGTCTAAAGCTTGTGAACAACTATTGGTTAATTAATGGAGACTCAGAGCTTTGATATTGCCAATGCTTATTTTTTTCCAAAAGGTATGTACTATAGGCATGTTTACTGATGCAAAGATTACTAATGCTTTGGGAGTAAATGATCCATTATTACCTTATAATTGGTTAATATTTTGGAAACATATGGAAAGTGCTATTTTATGAGCATCAGAATTGTGAATCCCAGTACCTTCCAGATGTGAAGTTAATGCATAAAATGCATGAGAGAGCTTTATCTCCATTAAAAATACATAGAGAGCATTCGTTTTCAGAGCATGACTTGGATAAAGAACAGAACTTTCACCAGCAAATAACGTGAGTGATGTGACAGGTTTAAACTTATACAAGATGTATGTAAATCACTTGATTCAAATACTGTAAATATATCCATGTCGTTTTAGTGTTTATTACATTGTCTCCTTTAATATTGACAGGAAGTAGGTTTTATTGTTTGATGAACTTGTCATAACTGACGAGGAATGTCAAGCTTCACTGCGGGCTGAGTTTAATAGCTCTGGCCCGAATCGCATTCATATTCTGTCAGCATGAGAAAAAAACAAGATGAAAGCAACTTGATTACCATAATCTCACATCAAAATATTGTGCCACTGTTGATGTATAGTGCAATATGAGAGGAGGTACAAAACATACATATCTGTGGGTAAGAGATCAATAACAACAGATGGTAGATAAGAACTGCATCATGTAGAGCCAAGGCTTTTATGCATGGGTACAGAGCATTGCCAAGTGATGCTAATATCCTTCTGAGTGTCATGTCTTTTGTTTTACAACAACTTTATAGTCTCTATATATTGGCTCTCACGCGGTGTAGCGTCCCAAAACATTGACGACGACAACAACAACTTGTGTTTATATAGCATCCTTCTTGCGGGGTAGCTGAGCTGGGGGGAGTGGGGGGTGACTGTAGGTACTGTCAAAGAGAAAGGTCTTCAGGCACGACCTGAAGTTAGGGGAAGGAAGAATACTGCTAACGCAAAGTTGCTACCACATTTGCTTGCACAACAATACATTTGCCCACAAAACACCCAATCCACTTTACAGCATAGTGCAGCTCTTTGGGACATCCTCCTGATGTGAAAGGTCCTATACCAACTGTAAGCATTTTTATTAGTTATTATTATTAATTCTATTTAAAGTTATTCTCATTTTGTATGTCACGTTTCCTTTCATCGGAATTGTGAAACTCTGAAAGGATTGCTCTGAAAGAGCCAACACAGACACGATGGGCCAAATGGCCTTCTTCTTTGCTGTAAACGTCTCTGGTTCTCATGTTAGGCTGAGAAAACCTTTCCTAGCTCCCCACCCCCCACCCCAGTAATTTTAGAAGAATTTAAGACTTTGCAGTTTTGAAATGCTCTTTCTTAGGTCAATGCCTATGATTTTTTTGTCTGCTGGAAGTTGTTTTGGTTTAGAACAGATCAAGTGATCTTGAATCATAATAATAATAATCCTTGCATGTCATACAGCGCCTTATCATGTCTTCTATAACCCGCCCGTTCCCTCCGCTCAGCGGGCTCTGGCCTGCTCCACGTCCCCCGAACCACCCGCCCCACCATTGGCGGGAGAGCCTTCAGCCACTCTGCCCCCAACCTCTGGAATTCCATTCCCCAGTTACTCCGCCTCGCCCCCTCCTTAGCCTCATTCAAGTCCTCAACAGTCGTGGATTGAATGACCAAACTGCCATTTTTAAAAAATGTTTTAGATGGGATTAATGCCCCTGGAAAAGCGATCTGCCAATTGACTAACAACTGGGTTCCTACTTACTGCTAGGAAAACAGAGAGGTACATGGAGTAAGGAAACTCGCATCGCCGGGAATGAAACCCAGGTCCTCTCACTTGCGAGGCGAGTCTCTAACCATTAAGCTACAGGACTCTACTCATCAACTAGAATCCAAGATTTGCTTTGAATGTTATGGATCCTCCTTGGTGATACCTATTTGCATTCTTGTCTAACATCAAACAAGCCTGTTCAAAGTTTAACGGATAAACACAATTAAACAATATGCTTGATAAATAGATATTCTGACACCAAGAATTCTGACTGTGGTTCTGCCATACTCAAAGAGCTCTCAAATTCCACCCCTTTGAAGGAGAGATTTTTTTTTAGCTACAGGTCAGTTGGAGGTTAAACTGAATTCAAGGCTATTGCAACCCATTCAAGAACACACCAACTGAGAAGCATGCTGGACTAACTAACGTATGTGTCCTCAGGGCTGGAGCTATCTCCTCCAGGATGACTAATAAAGCTGAAAAGTTTCATCAGTAAGTCTGACGTCAATGCACCTGGTATCAGGCAGAATCAGCTGTGAGATTCAGTATTAATCATCTTTACCAACACTGAGAACCTGGACATCAAGAAACACCTGAGAGAATAGAATCCCTTTGGTTTAGGGCAAAGCCTTCCAATAATTTTATTTTAATTCTGAATCAAAATTGGCGGTATAATTAAATTTTGTCCAGGCAATATAAGCAGCAGCATATATTGATGCCCATAGTGGCTTCACCCAATCAACATGGCTCTTTGTAGGACACTAATGTGCGCAATTGGCTACCGCGTTTCGCCCACAAAATATACAGTCAATTCACTTTACAGTATATTCTGTGAAGCGCTTTGAGATGTCTCAACGACTTGATAAGGCGCTATATCAAATGCAAGGACTATTATTATTATATCAGTTGTGCCACTTCAGATACTGGTGCACAAAGCCTTAGATTCCCCCTCTGAGCTGGGAAACTAGCTGCAAGAGGTAGGTATCTCTTATGTCACCAGGCAGTGCATTTACTCACTAATCCTTAGGGGAATGAGCTAACTGAGGTTTATAATAACTGGCACATATGAGAATTTTGTCAAGTGTTTGCTTACATATGAATGTTCCTGTACATAATTAAATTTTGCATTTTTGTATAATATGCAAGATATCCGGTTAGATCCCTGGTTGTCTTTACTTGGTTTTCACTTCATCCAATCTTTTGCCATTGTTAAAACAATAAAAAAAAATCTGTGTTGTCATCATATTGTGATAGATCATTGTTCACCCTTGGCATTAAACAAGGGCAAGGAATCTATCTGTAGTTTTATTCTGAAGCTTTTATGGCCTTTCTGAATGCTTGGGGACTAGTTTTATAAGTCCCTGTAGTGAGTGTGGCCAAAATTTAATTTACTGTGACCAGAAAGGTCACAAATTCTCTTCCTCTGCGTCAAGTAAAATGCAAATAGTCTGGCCGACTTTCAAATTGAAAATAGCAAGCGGTTATGGTTTTAATCATTGAATGAGCTAGCTCTCACGTACACCTCTGAAGCACTTCTGATATCCTATGTTCCTGTGTTTCTAAGCTGCGTGAGAAAAATAAACGGCATGTTTAAACAGCTTGAATGCAAATCAAATTGTACAAAAACTTGTACTGCCATGCTACTTTGTCAATTACATAAGAACGTCTCTGATGATACGTTTACTTTTCTAAAAATAGGAGTCCTGTAGCTCAGTGGTTAGAGCACTCGCCTTGCAAGCGAGAGACCTGGGTTCGATTCCTGGCAGGGCGAAATTTTGGGCAAGTTTCCTTACTTCACACGCCTCATAATAATTCATCAAGAAAAAACAAATAAAAACAATAAAATTGGTCACTTCAATCCACGACTATTTGTGGGACACTGCTGTTCGCAATTGGCTGCCATGTTTCGCCAATAAATACACAGTAAATTCATTTTACAATATATTCTGTGAAGCTCTTTGAGATGTCCCGAAGACGTGAAAAACGCTATATCAAATGCAAGGATTATTATTATTATTAAATATAACATCTTCAAATTGAATGGTTTACTCAGCTCTGTGCTCATAGTTAATTGCTCTGAGAAAGTCAAAACTGGTATTTGGAGCATTTTTTTGCCAGCTGTTGATTATAACAATAAGTCCTAACCCACAAATAAATGCTTGATGAATTATGTATAATTTGTTTTCATTTGTAGTCGAAGCCTTTTTCAACAAATCTACTCATTCGTGAATGTGTGTATAGCTATTACAATCATTTTACACTGCAAATACATTCTTCCTAGGCAATGAAACTATTCACTGCGAAATTTCATTTGAGATCAATTTTCAAGTAATAAATAATTAACTCTGAAGTGACTTTGACCTATGAGCAAGATTTAACCTATAACCTAGGAATACTGCATTACCTTGGTTGCCATTTAAAAATAAATGAAGGGACAATGACTCAACACAATCTACCAAGTAAACATTTCTAACTTCTTAAAATAAATTAATTTGATGGGATCAGACAGTTGCGTAGGTGTGGTTAACTCATGTTTTATCTTTTCCCTATCAGCCCCATCCTAACCCGGCTCCACTGGCTCCCCATTCCCCAGAGGATAGAGTTCAAAATTCTTGTCCTCGGCTTCCAAGCTTCCACAGCCTTGCTCCTCTCTACCTCTGTGCCCTGCTACTTGTCCCCCGCCCTGCTCACCCCACCATCGGCGGTTGGGCCTTCAGCCTTTCTGCCACCCTTTGGAACTGCATTCCACAATCCCTTCGCCTCACCCACTTCCGCGCCTCCTTCAAGGCCTGTCTCAGGACTCTTCTCTTCGACCGTGCCTTCGGTCACCCTCCTAATCTCACCCTCCTATCCTCGTCCTTCCTGGCCTCCACCCTTCCTGATCCCACCCCCCAACTAATTTGTTGTTGTTGTTGTTTCATAATGCATTTGTAATAGGATTCGCATTAAAAATATGCAATGAAACATTTGGTACAGTTAATGAATTCTTCATGTTAACCCCGTATGGGTAATATATTTTGGATATAAGAAACATTATCATTTATGTGTGTTCCATATTGCAGCAGCATAATTACAATGTAACACTTGCATGAAGTGTTTGCTAATGTTTCAATGGAATTGCAATAATTAATAACATTTTGGGTGCATTTTTAATTAAAAATATGAATGTGCAGACCTGGTTGTACTGTTTACTTCCAGACCAATGCTGAGGGGAAGGCAGAGCTCAATACATATATTCTCAAATGAACATACAG